TCCATGCACACTCCCTCACAGCATTAGCATAGCTGCGCAAACACCTTCCGTTTGGCCAGCATACATAGAAAGGTAGGGGATATCTGGTGTTTTTCAGCACTGTGGCTGATGCTGGGGTCCCGTCACATCTCATTGTTTCTTTTTCACCCCCTAAACTGAGGCTGGGTACATTGGTAAGGTACAATAGCCACAATAAAACAGTGAATGACCAGAATATATTTTACTTCCATTGTTCTATAAATAATATTTAGCCATGTTCGCAAGATGGTTTTAGAGATGGTAATGACAATCTGTTGGTTGGTCACTTTGGACTGAATCTCAAATATTGCATGGATTGACACACATATTTGTACAGACAATCATGGTCCCCAAAGGATAAAACTACTGACTTGATCCCCTGACTTAACCTGTAGTGCCATCATGAGCTTTGTGGAAATGTGTGGTTTTGAGAGAAATGTCTGAACTATTGGATGGATTGACATGAAATTAGTACACACATTTGTGTTCCCCTCAAGATGAATTGTAATAACTTGTAATAACTGTTCATGTAATGCCATCATCAGGTCAAAATTTCAACTGCAAAAGTAATGACATTCCCATCAGCCTCAGCTGTACTTTGCCTTTAGTGCTAGCCAGCAAATGTTTTCATAAATATGCATGCAAAATTAAGATGGTGCAAATGCTAAATGTAACCAAGGTTAAAAATCTATATTAAAGAGATCAATTCATATTGAGAAGTCAATTCATGAAATACGTTATTAATGTTAAAGATTAAAAAGTGATATTTGTCTAAAAAGCAGTTGAACTGCGATAAAGAGAAAATAAATAGGAAGTTTATTTTGAAGGAGATGGGTTGAATTGTGCTGTCAGCCAATCAGGAAGAGTGGAATGTGTTGATTTAGCACATTTTATTCACCTTTTAAGCACATTAAGCCATATTTTAATTATCTTTGAATGTTACATTTTATTTGTGATCTAAAAGTGCTATCACATGGCACAGGGTACACAAAATGTGTCTGCTTACTGGTATCTATGTTATTTTGTATTCCAATTGCTATGTGAACAAGATATTTTTGATATTATTATATTCAAGAGGCTTTTCAATAATTATCTCTGATATTTTGAGAATATTTTGAGAATATTTATGTTGTTACTGATATTGTGATGTCATATTACAATGGTTGTTCAGTTAATGAGTGGATTTAACATGATGTATATTCTCTAGTTCATGAATGAAAGCTAAAAAAGCTAAAAGAATGTTTTGACCTTACTCACTGTAGGTCAGGTTTTTTTGCTGGACCCCTTTGAACCTTACTATCTACCTGAATGTTGGAGCCTGGATCGAGACGTTGATGGCGAGCAACAGCCCAGAGGAGAACTAGAGATACGACGCCTGCAGAATTCGGCACTTCATTACATACACACACACACACACACACCACCAACTGTGCGGTTAGACAAACTCTCTCCACTTTCTCAGTGGACCGAACAGAACTAAAACTGAAACTGATTTGAAGTGACCAAAAACGGGGGAAAATTCTGAACTTTAAACTGAACTTTTGTTTACATTTTTTATTTTTCTACTTACCCGGGTAAGATTTGTGTCATTTGAAGAGTGTGCATTTTTATGTGTTGGGTTATCCTTCCCATCCTTGTATTGATAGGGAAGCGTTTTTGTTTCTCAAAGAAAGTACAACTGTGTCTGAGTCATTCCTGGTGTATTGTTTGGTTAATCCTGGGCTCCGTAGACGAACATAGAACTTCTGATCCCACTGGCCATAAATAATCAAATCACCAGTAATCCATTTCTGTTCCTCATCTCTAAAGGGTTACATAAACATTATAAATGCTACACTTCAGCATGGTAGCTTTGTCATTGTGAGCTTATTAGCATGCTGATGTTAGTATTTAGCTCAAAGCACCACTGCTGTAGACTCTTAGACTCGTTAACAGACAGTCTCTCATCTCCTGCCTGTTAATCAGAAAACACAGTTGATGGTGGCATTGCAAATCCAGGATGAAAGCTGGTAAAGTAGTTGATATAGTAAGTATAACTTTGAGCAATAAATTCATCAGTTTTGATAAATATCCTCCTATTGTATGCATTTCATTGCATCACATCCTTATCAATAACACCATACATATTTGTATGTATATGTATAATGTTGTGTATTATGTGGCATCACATCATCCTCCGGTTCACAGTGTTGCAGCCAGGTTTTGTATGACGCAGCCCAACAACAACAATGTCTAATTGTGTCGTATCACATCATACCCTGTATGAAATTTCAAAACACAGAATCGTATTGTATATCATCCTATCCTATCCAACCTGTCATATTATATAAGACTACTCTATATATTATCACATTCCTTATTCAGTCACTCAGTCAAGTGCTGCAGTGCCTCGAACTTCAGCTAATGCTGCTCCAGAATAAGAGGTGCAGTGGTGTTAACTGGGTTAAGGACCGGGAGGATTACCTGGGCCTTTACTGCTGCCAGGCTCTCTCACTGACTCGCTCAGTCAGGGTGGCCATTTGGCAGCTCTACAGCACAGCCAGTCTGAGCTCAGAGAGGGAAAAAAGGCAACCAAAAAAAAAAAGTGAAAGAGAGGGAAGATGGGAAGAGTATTAGTTCCCTAACCCAGGACTTCACAAGACTACGGATTAAGAGAGCCCCATTCACAGAAAACCAGTCAAACTGAGTAAAGCCAAAAAGATGACACAGGAGATTGCAAACTGTGCAGTCAACTTACTCCCCTCTGCAACCTCTTCCCACTCTCTAACTCCATCTCACTGTCTTTTTTTACCCTTTCTCACAGAGCTTCTATGAGCCACTCACTCAGAGGCAAAGTGAGCCATCTTAGGGGTGCAATCAAAGACAGCTTTTGATAAGCACCTCTGACTGGCATGCAGGGCCTCCACAAGGTCACTGAGTTCTACTCCAACCAAGAGAGAGGCACTGTCTGCACTGGCAACACATCAATTACTGCAGGCAACAAAGGATGAACTATAACAACACAATAACCTGCTCTGTCTGGGCACTGAGAGGGCAGCGGAGATGCTGTTCAGATAAGTGTTTCAATACTGAACTATAAGGAGAGAAAGAGGGAAGTGGAGGCGGGGGCAGAGGGTGCATGTTTTCTTTCTGAGCCCAGAGCAGCGTCCAGAGAGCGGGCTTGGCAGCGATCCATGTGTCCCTTGGCGTTAGTACTGCAGTCACATTACATTTCCCCTCTCCACTGGATCGCTGTGTGCCCAGCCGATGCTCCCGTCCAGGACATGTCGTGTCCACTTTAGACTTTAGGCTCTCTGGCTCGAGCTAATCCAACAGCTAACAAACTGGAGCAGATTGCTGAGTATATAATTGTGTAAATAATTCAGGTGTATGAGTGAAAGAGTTACAGTACATGAGATTGCTGAGATGGTGATGAGCATATACGTGTGCCATTTGTTGCACTGTAAATTGGAGCCTGCTGACACTGAGCGTGTTTGACTAAAAAGAAAGCTACTGCTCTTCATTCTCAAGCTCACACAACCCAATAGAGTCAAAACCTAGCAATCCACATGGAGCAGGTCTCCATGTTCTGCACATAATATAAAAAAAAAAACACACAAAAAACGTATTGCTTCTGACTTCCAGCTTGCTGATAGTGACAGCCGCACTGAGATCTACATGTGCCACATTCTCCCTGCGCTGATCCTGCACCAATTAATTTCATGAATGACTAACTCGTGTTTGGTAACAAACTCCCAGTGGCTCTAGGCTTACCTCACTAGCCCCCACCCTTACCCCCACCCCTAGAGGAGTGGCACTGCCAGGAATAGTCACAGGATAATGGAGTCAAAAACCTTGTGCCTATAATGCGCAAAAGGGGAAAATAATTACAGATCCAAGGCTTAAGATTAAAGTGAGCGAGCCAGTTTCTGTGCATTTGCAATTTTGTGGGTTTTGCTACTCATGTTTACTTGAAGAAAAAAGTTGGAGTTAGATGCATTCGGTTTAATGCATTTAGATGACATCGTCATCAAGAGTACATTTCAACGTCTTTGAGTGGCAGAATGTCACAAGCTGTGCCATTACCATGATGCATGTGCTAGAAACAAGACTGTGAGCTCACAAGCCTCTCTTTGAATCTGTATTCTGCCTTGCTGAGGAGGAACCGAAGAAGGGAACATTTTGGACAACATTTGAGACAACATGGCCCAAGAGAGAGCTGGGGCCATGTTGTCTAAAATGTTGATTAGTTTTGGCATGTGTAGAGATAGATTGCCTGCCATCTTTTCATTATTTCTCTGGAACCCCCCAGAGAGAGGGCATGGAGATGGACTTGAGCAGGAAAGGCGTAATTAAACTTCCACAGGCAGGTCATGTGCTGTTAAATGCTTTGCCACCATTTCTCATTACTTAACAGTGTAGTCTAAATGATACGCTGTCACTGGGCAAATTAATTGGTATTTGGTAAGGGCAGTATGGCAGCATTGTCTCCTACATGTGTCATAGGCTCTGTGGGACCATCAGAGGGCTACACATTATCTGACCCTGATTAATAACATAACACGAGTTAAGTATATACCAACTCTGGGTTACCGAACACGTCTTAAGCATTCATATAGTATGTAATTTCACAGCTTTCTGACCCCTCTGACCTTTGAATGCATATTTCTTAATTTGTGCCACAGCAAGTACTGTTCTCTTAATTTGGGTCTGGCCTACATTTAAGAGACAGCTCATGATGTGAATTAAGGGAAAAGTCCTGCATAAACCATGAAGCAGAAGTGAGGGGACAAGCACTGCACAACATACCACTTCATGCTCACGTTATTATCCAAATGCTGTTGCCTCACAAAATCTAAATTCAAACCCAGGCCAACCTCTTCAGGTGCTAAAGGACAGCATTATTAATATTAAAACAGAGCAGATTTTAGCTCCACTGAAAGATGAGTGTGTGTATGTGACCTTTGAGTTTGTGATTCTGGCGTAGCACCAGCTCGTCTTACCTCCAAAATAGGAGCCATCTGAAAGCTTGGTCTCTTTATTGCCTTTGGTTAGTACGCTGACAACCCCATGCTGTATGAAGTACATTTTCTTGCCGATGGTGCCCTCCCTGATTATATAATCCCCGGGCTGGAACACCTCAAACCTCAGCTTAGTGAGCATGGAGGTGACAAAGTTGGGGTCGGCGTTGGCAAACAGAGGCATGGACGCCACCAGCTTTCGACAGTTAAAGTTGACGATTTCCTGTGTGAGCACACACAGAAAGCAGTTAGCAAGAACAGCAGAAAAGAGCTTTAGCTTTGCAAAATGCATTGACCTGTCACAATTTCAGACAAGAGGGATATTAAAGTAACAACAGAAAAAATGTCAGCTGTGCAGACTTTTTTTTTTCTGAGCTCCTCTCAGTTTTACTCTTGTTTGGATTCACCCTAAAAAAAGAAAAGTAAACTGAGGGAAATGTCAAGCAGTACACAAGCTTTTGAATACATTACAGCTGCATGTGCAGGAGATTCAAACATAGACACTGATCCCACCTCTCGGAGCGGCTCGTTCAGCTCTCCCAGGATGCTCTCCTCGTCGAACATCTTGCCCTGGTAACGGTGCTCGTAGTAGTCGTGGATTCTCTGCCTCATATCTGCTGGCAGCTTGTGGAAAGACATGTACTGCTCCACCTGTTTGTACTGCGGGGACACAGAGACACTCAACAATCAGGTTACTCAAAGGCCATAGTGCTGTAGTACAAATACACAGCCACAGAGAACGGCTGGCACTAAGGTCAGACAAACAAGAAAATAGAGACGGATGCATGCAGGCCATCCGGGGTCTTGTGGGTTATACCCAACATGGTAGCACTTTTACAAGCTTTCATTCCTGTTTCTCTCAGAAGACAATCTGACAGAACATACTAACTACATATTTGCTGTCAGCACATTAAATATTATTTCTACTATAGTACCTCTTCTCTAAAGATACAGGAATGAAATGAGAGGTATGATCATTGTGGAGAAGTGATTAGTCATTATTCACTGGAGCTTGTAAAGGATTCACCATTGTGCCTAAACTGGATTGGGTTTACCACTGAACAACACAAGTAAATGTCCGGTAGGAGTGTGTGTTTCATTGTTAAATTACATTTAGTAAACAACTGGCAGGACTAGTATTTCTACAGTGCAATATCAGAGATCATATTATTATATTACTATTCATTCATACTGTAGCACTCAATTTGCATCCACTTATAGTATCGAATAACATAAGTGACGCAATTGAAACCTACATCTGTATATAACCACGCTGTGATCTGATGTGTCCTGCCTGTTTAGACTGTATATGTGATTGCAGTAACAAACAAAGGCCCAGGGCTCCTCAAACACCACATACATTAAAACACTTAAGAGTGTATTTGATATATGTTTTTAAGACTGTGTGTGTCTGTACCCTCCAATATTTATGTTGTTTGTTAAACATAAAAGCATTGTGTTAGTTGGCCTTTTATTGATTCTACAGTATAGGAGGCAGAGATGCAGATCAAAGCACACTGAGAGCACCTCGGGAATAATAACAGGTAGAATCCATGACCCTCAGTGAACGAAAAAAAGAAGAAAAAGAGAAATTAACCATTCATAGGGAAACACTGGAGGTGCTCTTTGATCACCATTTCTACGCTGCCAAAAGCCTTACCACTCAATGACATGGCTGACCTCAGATGTCTTCCTCTTTGTTATTCGGCTCTAATACGCTATGCACCACTAATCTTGGAGGAGATCATCAAAAGGCCAATCTTTTGGAAACATAACACAGTAAATAAGGACAGCTGTCTCATGCAAGTCAGATTGTTTTTTAGAAAGCAGAAAAGCTGTCAGGAAATGTAAGGAGAGTTGGAAAGAAATGCATTCTAGGGTTAGAGTAAAAACACGCAGGCAGACTGTATCGCCAATTTAGAATAAGTCTGATCAGATGTCAGCAAGGTTCTGCTGGTAACATCTTCTATCCTTGTAGTGACCCACTGACACCCTGTTGTGTTTTTAATCCTCCTTTGTTCACTTTTTTTGTTTGTCATGTGCTCCCTTCTCCATGCCAAATTTAGATGGATTTTAGTCTGTGTTTGACCAGAGCCTTTTGAGTCCCTCACAGACAAAGAAAACAGTCTGGAGTCAGTCTGTGCATATCGATGATAAAGCTCCCTCGACTGTGACCACTTAGCCACAAACTGTTGCATGAAATCACTGACTTTTGAAACAACGTAGCTGTTACAACCACAAACACTACAATGTATAAATCTGCAAGTTCAAGGGCATATAAATGTGCAATTGAACTATTATACTCTTTGTCCAACACTAAGCTGCTCGTCTGATATACTTAAAAGTTCACCTCTTAGGAATGTCAAGTAAATTATTTGACAATTTAAAAGTGTAAAGTGACCTGGAAAATTAAATGCTTGCATAAGCAAGAATAAGATGCGGAAAGAAGCTTTTAGATATCCGGTCTCTGTGCATCTGTGGGGAGATGGATGAGCTCTGTTGTGGCGTAAGGGTTTGAGTCTTTATCCCCACAATCCCTTTGGCATAAAATTGAGCATTTACTGATCTGATGATGAAACAGAATCATTGCAGAGAGGAACTTTTGCTCCACTACTCCAAGAGAGGAAAAGCTCTAGAAAACAATCGCAGAAATCTCCAGCTGTAGTCCCATTGGCTGCTGAGTATTGCAGCGAAGATGGCTTGTCTGCATGTGATGCCAGGGTGAAGATGACAGGTGTAACCCACATTCTGCATCTTGTCTAATGTCTTTATGTCTCCTGCATTAGACATGCCACAGCCTGGTGCTCTGTTTCAAAGGCGTGGATTATCATCTCCTTCAGAAGGTCTCCCAACGCTTTTTTTTTTACATTCATAAAAAACACTGTCAACATGTAATACAACCGTTTATCCTCAGCTTTGCAGCATGTTACAGTTTGATTCTCCCAGCATGAAAGAGCATTAGTTAAGTGAACAAACGCAAGATACTGTCCTATTGCTTTTATATTGTGACGGGTACAACTGTACTCTATACAGTAGCTGTGTCTCACTCAAAGGCATCTCGTATACTAATCACTGTTAAGTCTCAGAGGTGAAGCTGACATGGATGTAAAGACACCGACCATGGGGGGACAGCACAATCCTGACGCTGTGATGGGCTGATAACACTCTCTCTGACAGGAAATTATGTTATTGCTGCACAGCCACCATCACACTGCCACCAGGAAGATCCCTGCTCTCCTGCTCCACTTGGCTAAATCAAATCATAGTCAGTGCTAAGGAGGTAATCGTTCCACCATCAGCCTCCCTCACTGCACTCTGAAAACCAGGGGATTCAATTCTGTTGGGTGGCTGTCCAAAATATAAGTCGCTGATGAGAACTATAGAACTGATTTATTTTTTTATTTCTTTAGTTTAGGAAATACACATTTTTGTTGGATGAAAAAATGAATACCAATTTCATATCTGTACATTAAGCACGAGCAGTCATGTTAGCTTAGCTTTGCACAAGCTGTGTGTTTGGCTATGTCCAAAAGTAACAAAATCTGCCTACAAACAAAAACAAGAGACTTGCCAGGTAAACAGCAAAGTCTAGCAACCTCACCATGATGACCAGACTGCAAGAAGTTACTGCGCCTAGCCAAGAAATGGTTATTAACCATGCTGTTTTTACACTGGTTTTTATACAGAATTAAGAAATAAGATAAGGTGTTAATTAGTGGGCTTTAGAGGTTCTGGTAGACAGATTGTGTCACTTTTGGACAGAGTCAGGCTAGCTGTTTCCCCCTGTTTCCAGTCTTTGTGCTATGCTAAGCTAACAGGTAGCTGGCTATGGCTTCATGTTTAACAGACAGATATTATATAATCAAACTCTTGGAAAGACAGCAAATAAGTCAAAAGTCTCAAAAACTTTCCTCAGCTTTGGTGGTTTTAAAACTGCTATATTTGGCTGTTGATGATGATTTTGGTGATTTTCCAATTTCCTAGCATAATAAAAACCATAAAGGCAATAACACAATGAATACTGCATTGTTCAACATTTTTTGTTCTTTAAATTACACAACCATTCAAGTCAACAAATTGTCCTGCTAACCTAGCACTAAGATCTTTTACTATTCTCAACGCCATTGCTTTTAAAGGATCAGTCTGTAGGATTTAGTGGCTTCTATCTATATGCAGATTAAGTAAGATTTAAATTTAAGAGATATGTATCATGAATTGACCACTGTTTATTTATTTGCAGGCAACTTGTCAGAGAGACAACTTGAACCACATGAGTCTACGCTAGGTTATTGAGAGCAGCTTAAAGCTTAACAAATATACACTTTCTCACAGAATGACCGTGTAACTGTGGATAGGAGGGGGCGTATATTTCTGTTTCGAGGGTTAGGGTTATGGGTCACTGGCCACATGCCTCTTTCTTTCTTTCTGCTTTTCTCTTCATGTATACAGGTTGCATGTGTCTGCTGTGTTGCAATTATTGGATGTTTATGTTTTTGTAAGGGTTCAGAAGAAACACAACTTGTTCTTTGGATTTTTTCACCCACAATTCCGTTTTGCATTTGGAGGAGGCTTGTTAATGACGTCGCCTACTGAAAACGAACCGTCTGCTTTAACTGGTTCGTGCTTTCTTCGTATCTCTCTCTCTCTCTCTCTCTCTCTCTCTCTCTCTCTCTCTCTCTCTCAGCAAGATGCTAAAATGAGTTGATGTGTGGGAATGACTGAACATAACTTTCCAGTGGGATAAAATAAATGCGCCATCTGATTGGCTCTTCTAGTCGGTCTTCATAGAGACCGCTAATTAAACTATTTAGAGCAAATATCGGCAGACAACGATTGGTGGCCGATCAATTGGGTCAGCCTTACTGCATGTACTGACTGGTGACCTCTGTATAGACTTAAGTGCCTTACTGTAACTGACTGTCTTTTAAGTACATTACAGTAGAGAGATTTGTGTGTGTGTGTATGTGAGCCTATTAGTTTCCAATCTTGGCAATATTACAGCAGTAGCATACTCTGCCCACTGAGCTATACAGAATTGCATCTTCGTGATATTTTATTTCACAAGCCCTTTCCCTCTGTTTCTTGGTTTTGATCTCTTACCACATGGCAATGCTTTGGTCTGTTCCACATTCGTACTTTTCTTTTTTCCCATCATTCTACTCTTTTATCATCCTTTTTTTCCCCCAATTCCCTCCTCTCTCATGCAGCTCTCCAAGCAAATGCACATTTTTTACCAAATAATACGAAATGAATAATTCATTTCCCAAAAGAGATGTCAGCCACTTAATTATACTTTCTAAACATTTTTGTTTCTCCACTGTTCTCTGTCTCCTTCTCCATAACCTTGTGTTGCATGGTCTAAAGGTATGGGTCATATAATAAGGCTAACTAAAGTCCTACATATTTTCACCCACAAATGTTAAATAGGCAGTGGACACATTAGCAAACTATAGAGAATGCTCCACCTGCTTGGTTTGTGATGTATGTGCTGGAGGACAGCTCAGTCTTGTGTGAAATGGTCATAACACTGCTGAATTCAGGACAAGAGCGCTCATGGGCAGCCAGTGATACACTGTATGGTACAGTGGTCTCATAAGGTGGTCTCATAAATTGACTGCTACTATGTATATCTAATTATTCGACTAACCATGGATAAGTCC